CTGCTTTGCAGTTTATTAATCCCTGAAGTGCCGTAGCGCTCGCCTCTCGCTTGGCTGCCACAAAGCTGTTGGTCGTGTGTTGGAGCAATGGAAGCTGAAGCGCTGGCCTGGTGGCAAGGGAAGGGCATGGCGTGGCTGGTGACCGCGGGATGCTGCGAGGGCCACGTTCCCCTTCGCCCCCCGCTGCAGGTCTCGCCGGCAGAGCCCCCCTCCCAGGGGAGCACAGGGCACGGGAGCCTGTGAACATGCAGGGTGCTTTGCCAGGAGCACAACATTACACAGTGCAGGGTAGGGGGGCTGGTGGTGGAAACTCTGCTCTGCCGCGAGCAGTGACAGCCACAGCTCTCGCTGGTGGAGCCACGGGGGCTTGGGCTGCGCTTGGATGCTCCTTATTGGGGACCCGCGGGGAGGAGAGGGAGCGGGAGGCATCGGGCAGCCCCTCGCTGGGGCTGGGGCTCCCCTGGGATGGTGAGGGCGCTCGATGGGCTGGAGCTGGGCACCCTGGGGTGCTGCCCCGGCTTGGTCTGGACCCCAGTGGGTTTGGGGGCTGCTCGGGTGCCTGCCTGGGGAGGGGGGGTGCGGGCAGGGCAGCAGAGAAGCCCCTGGGCTCGCTTGCAAATGGGCTGAGCTTAATATGCAAGTCACTGCTGGGGAGGAACCAGGCTCATGAAAATGCCATTTCCACGCCGTCACTCTCCCGGCCATTATCCTGCTTCAGACAAAAGCAATTTACTCTGCCTGTAATAAAGCAGGGGCGATAACGAAGCTGAGCAGAGCGGTGACAGCCGGCCGTGTGACCGAGACAGGCCGGCCTCTCCGTCACCTGCACCGAACTGCTGGCTGGGGATGGCAGGCACAGGGAAAACCTCTGGCAGAGCCGGGAAGCCTGGAGAGCACCAGGAGAAGCGGGTGCTGGGGCTCGGCCGGTGTCCTGGTGCAGTCGGTTGTGCCGGCCGGGGGGATGTGGCTGGCTCCTGGGCACCGGTGTGGTGACCGAGGCACCGACCCGCTCACCGGACAAGGCGGGAGGGTGGCCGGGGGGAGCAGGCATCGGCCCTCGCTGCCCACAGCGCCCAGAAGCGAAGGGGCTGCGTGGGAAGGCGTCTCTGCGGGCGCAGGGTTGC